AGAAGGGGATTGTTTTATCTCATGGCAAAGCTCAGGCCCACCAGACGCACAGAGCCCCAGGCTAGAGCCCCAGCAAGCACCTATACAGGCCCTGCACCGGGTGCTGGTTGTGGCCATGCTGGTCTAAGGACAGAGGCAGGCAGGCCTGTGGGTAGATGTGATCTTTTTTATCAGACCAACTGAGCAGCTGGAAACAATTGTTCTTTGCATATTTTTGGGCAAGTTCTTTGGTGCCTGAAGAAGGGCAGTTGTGCCCCAAAACATGCACAGAAAAGGGTTTTCCAACGTCTGAGTTGGTCTGATGAAAGAGATCCCATCTACCCACAGACCTTGTCTGCCAGGACCTGCACTGCCACTGACTGAGTGGCCGCAGCTCCGTGGCGGTAGGGGCTGCCCTGTCACCCCCGCATGCACGGAGCCCCAGGCAGGGGTCCCCCGGGCCGGTTTCCAAGCGCAGCCCCGCATCCTGCTGAGTTTCCCCTAAGCAGGGCCGGTGCGGGATGGGCCTGTTGCCTCTTAACGAACCTCGGCGAGGAGCCGCCTTGCCCTCACTTAACATGGCAGTCGCGTCTTCCCATGTGACCGCCATCACGTGCGGGGGAGTCGCTGGCGTAGCACGTCATCGCCCCTGGCCACGGCCCGCACAATAGAAGCGGCTCCGGCGGCGGCGGCGGCCACGCGGGTAAGGGGGGCGGAGAGGGGGCAGCGGGCGCCGGCCTTGCCGGGGGGAGGCGACGCAGCGCCGGGCGGGCTTTCCGGCTCGGTACCCCAGAGCTCTTGCAGCTCCTGGAGGCCTCGGAGCTGCAGTTTCCCGCCGCGGCCTGGTGTCCGCTCGAACAGGGCCGGGCCCATGGCTGCCCTCCCCGCGAGCTGCGGCCGGGTTGAAATTTCATCCTGCGCGTCTGCCCAGGCTCCCAGAGCGGGTTCAGGGCCTGCTGCCTGCCGGGATCCTGGGCAGGCCGGCTTCACCCGTCCTGCCCGCCCCTCTGCTCAGCGGGGACGAGGGAACAGGCGCTGGGGTGGAAGAAAAGCTCTATCCTCACCCCACTACAGCCCAAGGGGGTTGCAGGAAGCAAATGGCGCAGGAGCTGGTGACCTGAAATGCATGTTTGCCTTTGCGGTGCCCAAGGGCTCCAGCTTGGGGGAGAGCCTCTGCGCTGGGCTCTGAGCGCTACACCTCTGCACACCCATCTGCAGGCAGAACCGGGCATGGGCTTGGTGGAGAAAAAAGAGGCCCAGGGAAAGGGACAGTCACTGAGGGTCATGCAGTAAATCAGCAAAAGAACTGAAAATGGATCCCAAAGCTTCCTGCCACTCCAGTCCCATGCCTTCAGGGCAGAACTGCTTCCCAGGGGATTCCTGAAATTGTTAATGTCCTGCTGGGCTCAGGCAGGAAGAGCTGCCCTCTGGGGCTGGTACAGTGAGAAAATCCCTGGATGGGGCTGGAAGCCGGTGTGGCTGATCTGTTCTCTGGATTTCCCCCGGAGCTAATGTCCTCACTATTAACTTCCTTTTCTGCTGGAAAGCTGCTGCTGCTGCTGCTCATCTTCCCCCTCCTTTAGAATGCATCCGTGCTCAAGTAGGCTGTTTGTCCAGCAGGTTTCCTCACCTCCTGTGTATTTGGTGCTGCAAAACCTCTGAGAATGAACATAGGCAGGCAAGGTTCGTTGAATACATGTGATATCTTTTATTAGACCAACTGAGTAGTTGGGGGGGGGGGAGTTCTTAGTGAGCTTTCAGGTGCAGTCACCCTTCAGGCACAGGGAGTCTGTGGTATTTTGAGACTCTAAGGAGTGAGTGAAGTTAAAAGTGTGGCAGGATGCCAGTGAGAATGGAGATAGGTAGAAATTAGAAAGACCAAAGGTAAAGCAGGGAGGGGGGCGGGGGTGGAAGCAAGGGGGAAAAAAAGGCCAAAGGTGAGTAAGGGAATTAACATGTCATTTACCCCCACGCTTACTTCAGTTTTCCTCCTTTGGCTAGGTCATGGCCCCAAGCAAACTGTTTTAATCTCAAATTCCAAGTTCCTTAGTCTAAGTTTCTGCTCTGCAGAGTTTAATGTCAAGTGCACTACTTATCTCTGTGCAGAGTGGATGCAAGTCACAGTTGTGCAGGTAGGGGGGACAGTCAGGGGGGGTTTCTGGATGAAGGGTGTGACTGCTCCAAACTCAAGTTAGCACTAATGGTAATCATCATTTTCATAGCTCACAGCTTAAGGTGAAACCAAGTTAAGGGCCTTCTAACTTACCCCTGGAAGCTGAACCTAGTGCAGTGCTTGCTAAAATCAGTTGAGTTTGTCCACATAAAGGACATGCAGCTGGTTAAACCAGGGTACTTAAATGCCACCTTCAGCTGCTGCCACATCCCTGTTATAGATGAGACCTGTGAGAGCTGGTGTGGTATCCCCTATTCCTGGGACCTGGGAATTGCACTCTAAAGTAGTACTGGGATTCATCCTCATTCAGCCTTAACGGAAAAGCAGACTGCAGTGGCTTGAATTGTGCCATCTCGGATAGAATTACAAGAGGGAAACTTTTGACAGCCTAGAGGGAGGTGTAAGTTAGTCGTGCTCAGCACATCTTATTTCCACGCTGAGGGGTGAGCGGGTTATGTGATACTGGTACGATGGAGGAGAATTACTGTCTGGTTTCTATTCTGCCCACACTGCACTGACCTGCTTTGATGTGCACTTACAAACTGCAGACACAGTTCCACACCCCTCCAGTGCTTTTCCTTTTCAAAGCACTTTCCTGACTACAGGTAACAAATCTCACACCTGTCTCATCAGGTCAGGAGCTGTGAGCCCCTTTGTGCTGATGGGGAAGCAGGCTCAGAGAAAACATCTTGAGCAAGGCCTCAGCGTTTGGGCTCGGCGTTAGGAATTCCTGGGTTTCATTGTGGGGTATTGTTTCCCCAGTGGCACTTAATTTTCCAGCCAGACTATAGTCAGTTTTGTACCATGGTCCAGGAGCACAGGAATAAGTGTACTTGGAGTGGAAGAAAGAAAGGGGTGTATGGAATTAACTCTGGGCAAAGCAGGCTTTACCACCAGAAATGCCTTCTGGAGTTTCTGTCCCTCCCCTTTGTTGGAGAAATCCCTGCTCTTGGCCCTCCTTGTTATCCCTTCTTCCTGGACTGGCCACAGTCCCAAGGGGCAGAAGTCCCTCTCGGCAGCTGACAGGTGCACTGTGAGGGACATAGCACAAGTACAGCAGAACTGTCCAGAGCAGTTGGGAAAAGAGCTATAAATGTCATTTAAATACAGGCTACTACAAGCAGAGCGGGCTGCAGGAGGGGGCGTGCATGCTGGGATCCAACCCAGCAGCTATGGCAGGACAGCCGTCCTGCTCCGCCCCCTGTGAAACTGGAGACCAGGCAGAAGGAGAACCAGTGAGGTCAGAAAATGAAAATGAAACTTAACTTGCAACCATTTTAGTAGCTGGCATCCTAGCAGAACTCAGCTCTGCTCTGGTGCAGCAAGTGGGCATCCAGGAGGTTGCTTCTGTTGTGTGAAAAACACTGAGGTGCTGTAAGGTTGTGACTGTGCCGTGCCAGAGCTGCGGGCTGCGGGCCCTCCTGCTCTCCGCTGGCCCCTCCTCCCAGCAGCCTCACGCTCTCCCTTTTGGCAGACAACTAGTTTGTGGAACGAGAGTTCCCCTTTGCCTTCCAGTTAATGAAATGAGTTATGCTCATCAGGATGGACGTGTGCAAGGTAAGAGTGACTTCCTTGCCCTTTCTTCACCCCCTGGGTGGTGCCTAGCCTGCAGGCATTCTTTGAAAAATTGGCCAGCTGGGCAGGCTTGCATGTCCTGGTTCCCTGAGGGGACAGGGAGGAATTGTAGCATGTCTGCCCTTTGCACAGAGAACCCTGGGCATGTCACTTGGGATCAGCTGTGCTTGGATGAGAAAAATTAGTCACCTTGGCAGTAGCTGAGGACAGTCGGAGACTGTTAATCAAGTTCAGTGCAAGTGAAATGTAAAACGCCTCAGAACCTCTTTGATTCTGCATATTCAGGCTGACGGTTGGCAGCATGTGGTAGAAATGTGCGTTCTTCTTACTCTTCAGCACTTCAGTCTCCTCCACGTCTCTCCATAGTTTTACACCTTTTGTCCTTTGGAAGCAGAGGGATATAAACACCACTGCCCCAGCTTCCCTCAGTGGATGGCTCCCTGCATTTAGGTGCAAAGCATCCATTACATCCCTATACCTGCTGCTTTAAGCAGTTTAGTGATTTGCCTGTTTTATCACTCATACAAGAATGTCTTTGTCTGTCTCTCTTGTCATTTCAAGTTCATCTTCTCTTGTCATCACTTATGAGTAGGATGAGTGTCCCAGGGAATAGTAGGTGGCTGTGTTTGTCGGGGACTGACAGCTCAGGCCTAGTCCTTGTGCAGTGACTGACAGTAGCAAGCTTGTTATTGGTCTGAGCTGGATTTGAACTGCAGTCCAGGAAGGCTCCACATCCCATTGCCAACCTCTGAAATCTGGTTCCTTTGATTTTATCTCTCTAAAATTTCATGGAAGGAGAGAAGTGGCTGTTTGGTCACGCAGTATTAAGGGAGGATTGGGAGTCCATCCCCTCCCCAGCTCTGCTGTTTTCCCTCTGCGTGCCTCAGTTTCTGCATTTGAGAGATGGGAGGATTATTCCTGCCAGCTCCCAGGGTTTTGCAAGGAGGCACTCAGTAATGTTTCAGAAGCAGCTTGAGTCCTTGCATGGAAGGAACTGCACAAGGGCAACGCTATCAGGTTTGTGCTGTTGGCATAATTCGGCCTGGAAAACCCCAGCAAGAAACAAGGGTGGGATTTTCCTAATGAGGCTGTTCCTCTTTGTTCTTCAAGCCCAGTGCTCTGCCTGGGTCTGAGCAGACACCTGTTCTGCAGCTGCACTGAACTGGCTTTTATGTGTAGTGTAATCAGGGTGTGTGTATGTGTGTTGCAGGGAATCTGGGGCTCCCCAGGGTGTGGCATTGAGTGCTGAGCTCCTGTTTTTTCCTTTTGGCAGGCCTCTGGGCAGCAGCTGTGAGAGTGGAGCGTGAATCACAGCTTCCCCTCTCCTGGCGTGCACAAGCTCAGATTCCCACTCGCGTTCCAGCAGCGCGCTATGAACAGAGGTGTTGGCCGAGGCAGAGGCTCATATCAGACACCCACAAAACGTAACTCCTGCCACCCTAGTCCAGCCTCTTTTAACAATCCTCTTGTCCCGCAGGGAAGCAATCTGAGCAGATTCCAACTGCAGCAGATACAGTTCCTAAAAGGCCAGCTTCCTGAGGCTCCACTCTATCCATTTCAGGAACAGAGGTCACAAGTAGAGCAACGCTTCAGGGGTCTGCAAGCAGCTGCATCGGTTCCTAGAGGGAGAGGGCACAATAACTGGGGCACGGCTGGGAGACCTAGATCCCTTTATAGTAGTTGGCATGAGCACAGTGTACCAGTTCGTTGCCCCAGTCATCGTCATACCTACCCAAAGCCAAGCAGAGAGCTTGACCCCCTCAGTGTGAGCTTTCAGGGGATGTGCGTACGAGACCTGGAGCAAGAAGTTTTGACAGTTTTAGGTCAGCTCAAGGAGGGGACATCGTGTACGGTGCATGATCTCTCTCGTAAACTTCATCGTCACAAGAAAGACATCAATCGTACCTTGTACAAGCTTCTTGAACAAGGCAGACTGTACAAAGGAGAAGAGACGCCCCCACTGTGGAGGATTGCAGATAGACCAGGGCCATCCGGGACAGTGAGTAAAGGCAACGTTGTGGTCAGGAGGACTCTTCTTAGAGATCCATCTTTGGAGAGTAAAGAGGAAAAAGGTTCTGCTGGGTGCTCAGAGGACAGTGCAGACTCTCCCGTTATGGCTGAAACCAAGGAGAAAATCTGCAACTACTTGTTTACTGTTCCACAGTCAACACCACTCAACATTGCCAAGAACATTGGGTTGGGGAAGGCCAAGGATGTCAATGCCTCTCTCAATGACCTGGAGAAAAGAGGCGATGTCCGCAAGGAGAATGCAAACCCCCCCAGGTGGTCCCTTACTCCCAAGAAACGTGAGCGGATGCAGAATAAGATGAAAGCCAGTGAGGTATTAGAAGCAGCACCTCCTGTCCCCCAGCCAGAGTTAGCAGCAGCCTGTGAAGTACCTGATCCGCAGAAGAGTGTGGTGGCTCTCCCGGCAGTACTAGCAGCAACCTGTGAAGGGCCTGATCCGCAGGAGAGTGTGGTGGCTCCCCCAGCAGTACAGACAAAAGAAGGGGAGAATATAAAAAATGGACAGCAGGTAGCAGAGCCAATGGAAGAGAGCAAAGCCAAGGCTCCTGATCTGGGCTTGTCTGGCAAGAAGCCCAAATACCAGAGAGTCATGAACTATGACAACTCCGAAAATGGGAGGTGGGCCACAGATGACATTCCAGATGACCTGAATGCCATCCACAAGCAGGCTGATGAGTCAAGGTGCATCATGGAATCTCCCATTTCCCCCAGCTATGCTGCCCAGTTTGATGCTGCCTTCCAATGCACACCCTTTGAAAAGCTGGTTGCCTGTCAGGAGAAGAACCCAGTGAGTGGCCTTATTGAGTACACGCAGTACACCTACCAGCACTGTGAGTTTGCCCTTCTGGAGCAGAGTGGACCCTCTCATGAGCCACGGTAAGAAAGACAGCAGATTTCTTTTGTTTAAAAAGATCTATGCTCAGCTAACTTCCTGTTCAATGGTCTTGTCCTAAACTGTAGGGGGCCGGCGCATCTTGCTTGTACTTCAGCAAGAACCAGTGTAATGTCTTGACAGTGAGCTCAGTCCCCAAGGGCTCAGGTGCATAGCTCAGCTAGCAGTGCCTGACTGTGGGGACAGACTGCTGTTTACAACCTCACAGCCGACAGCACAGTAGAATGGGGCTGCGCTGCGCTGCCCTGCCTTGTATTTTGCCCAGCTGCAGATGCTGCACTGTCTAAAGAAGCAGGGAAAGGAGCAGCCTTGGGGGGTGGAGGTTGCAGTGAAGTGTGCAGGGCATCATTCACCTGGAAGGGGGCTTAGAAACAGCTGTGACACCACAGGGCATAGCTCAGCCAGGGGCAGCTTCCACTGGCTTTTAGAGATGCCAGCAGGAGGACCTCAGTGAAAGGAAATCAAGGGGAGGTTAACTTCTGGAGAGCAAGCGGTTGTGGAGGGAGTAGGTAGAAGCTGCTGTTCCTGCCAGGAGCAGGAAATCCCATACAGCCTGCAGAATGAAGTTGCCTTCTAGGATCCCAAGCAGCTTTGTGCCTCAGGCTTTCTTATCCCAGGATGTTTGCACTGTTGGGGCCCAGGGTTGGGAGCTCTGTGGCTCATGGCTCATCAGTGTAGCAGCTTGGAGCTCATGCTGCCCACGCAAGCACAGACACAACCTGGCACTTACAGGCTCATGGGAGCAGGAGGTTTTTCCAACGGCTTTTTATAGCCTGTCTGTTGGATGTGTTTCCCCTCAGGTCTCAGCCACTTCTGAGCCCCAGCGCAGCTGTGCAGTGTGCTGTGATGGCCATGTCAGTTGACCCGATAGACAGGAAAATTGCCCTACTTCACAAAGGCATGATCCAAGCTCCTGCAGGCAAGGGTCAGAATGGATTTCTAGCCCCAACGGCCCTCCCAAGATCCAGTCTGACCCATGGCCTGTCAGAGGATCCTTCCTTTGCCAACCGTGGAGGTCACTGGGATCTGGAGTGGAGTCCCTGGGAGAGAAGTGAGTGCATCTGCCAGAGACACAAGGTTCAAGTGAGGCAACACCTTTCCAGGGTGCCATGCACAACCTTGGCTGGCAGCTCCCAATGCCCCAGCTCCCCAGGCAGATGCAGTGACTTGGTGGAGCCAAGCTGCAGCAAGAGCCATGCAACTTTTCATCACCCTCTGTTTCACGCAGCAAGAATAGCCAGTAAGGCAGTAGCTGGTGCTTGGAGACCAGGGTGGGCCACTCTACAATGTCAGGGCTAGCCTTCAGGACTAAACAGCAGTTTGGGCACATGTGGCTGTTCTGCAGGCCATGGCTTATGTTCACTTTCATGCCTCAAGAGCTCGTGGTGATTCTCACTTGAATTCCAAGGGGCTCGGGACAGGAGGAGCATGCTGGCCATGGGACAGCTGTTCATGCACTTGTCTTGTTCTCTCCTACCAAGATTCAAGTTCCAAGTCGTGATTAATGGACGCCGGTTCCCAGCAGCAGAAGCAGGTAGCAAGAAGCTAGCCAAGCAAGAAGCAGCTGCTAATGCCTTGAAGGTGTTGCTGCATGAGGCAGAGAACAAGGAGGATGTTGGTGGAGGCAATGAGATGTTACCTCCAGACAGTTCGGAAGCAAAGTTGGTGAGTCCCCTGCCATTCCTGGGATGGGCCCGGCCTGCAGTCAGTGCTTTGAGGGCCTTTGAGCAACAGATATGGGTGTAAAATGCAGATGAGTTGGTGTCTTGGCACTGCAACTCACAGCTGTGCTGACTGTGCCATTGGCCAGCAATTTTAGTGTTAAGATGAGGCGGAGATTTCTGCCTTTCCCCATGTTGCCTTAGCAATCAGACCCAGAGTGGTGTTGTACTTAACAAACCTGGCCCTTCTTCATTGTGTGGGGAGCTGCCTCTCGCACTTGCACTGGAATAAGATCATGCACACAAGCAGTTTCCACACTTCCAGTGCATGTTTGCAGCATTGTAGCATAACTCCCTGTAACTGCCTTGTGTGGCAGTCATAGATTCATGGATTCATAGAAGTAGGGTCGGAAGGGACCTTGTAGATCGTCAGGTCTGACCCCCTGCCCTGGGCAGGAGAGGAAAAAACGGGCTCAAATGACCCCAGCCAGGTAGACATCAGGCCTCCTTTTAAAGACCCCCAGGGTAGGAGCAATCACCACTTCCCTTGGAAGTTGGTTCCAGATCGTAGTCGCCCTGACTGTGAAGCAGTGCTGTCGGATGTCTAGTCTAAACCTACTCTCTAACGACTTGTGGCTGTTATTGTGTCGCCACTGCACAGCCCTCTGCCAGGCCAGTGGCAGATCGTGTGGTGCCCACACACTCCATCCCTATTCTCCTCCTATCACTGGTCCCTGGTGGTCCTTGGAATGCCCTCAGCAGATCCTCTTGCTTCTTAAAACCAGCCCCTCCTCTGTCTCCACCAAGCAGCAGTCCAGCTCCCTTGCATGCTGATACCTTTGCCTGAAGAGCTGGTCTTGTTGCTGTGGAGTCTTTCCACTTGGTGACCTGCAGGGGCACAGGTGACACAGGAGATGGCACATTTCTGCTAGCTACGGGGAAGGGGTGCTGGGAACACAGGTGTGCCTGTTCCCAGAGGGAGATGTGATGTGAAGGAACTGTCTGTGTCTTCCACATGCCCCTGTCTGGCTGCGCCTAGGCCTCCTGTGGGGGTTGATACCTGATACCTCTGTACAGAGGGGCTCAGAGAAGGGCTCTGAGCTTTTCAGACTGGTGGGCAGGGCCCACAGTGATATCTGGTAGTGACATCTCAGCCTAGGTGGCCTCTGTAGTCTCTTTGTCTCTGCTTTCTCCTTGTAGCCCCTGCCCCTGGAACTGGAGTCTCCGTCTGCAGCAGTGCATCTAAACCTGCTTCCCGGCAAGAACCCCATCAGCGTGTTGATGGAGTATGGGCAGAAGTCAGGGAGTGTCATTGAATTCCAGCTGCTATCACAGGAAGGCCCACCTCATGACCCCAAGTACAGTACTTCCTTGTCAGGCGGGTGGGAAGAGGGATTCCTCCACTTCATTCCCTTCAGTCAGTGGGGCTGGCCCAAGGTACTCCTATATCCAGGTCCCTGTCCCCTTTCCCTGGTAACTCCTGTTGTCCAGCGTGCATGGACATGGACCCCTCAGTACCTCAGGCCCCGTAAGAAGGGTGGAGGAATGATCCTTCCTCCTGAAAAGCTGCACATATTTCTTCTGGCCCTGCCAACCCTGGAACACTGATCCGAGCTCCCTGCTGTTCCAGTGTTTTCAGAGTGCTTGCAGCCCTTCTGGTAGCTTAGAAATGCTCCCTGTACATTCCCAGCCCAACCTGAACCGCGAGGGGGGTGAATAACACAGTGAAGTTTTTTGGGTTGACTCTCTTTATGTGCTGTAACATCCTGCCAGGTTCAAGTATTGTGTGAAAATGGGTGACCAGGTTTTCCCTGCTGTGGTAGGCAACAGCAAGAAGGGAACAAAGCAGATGGCAGCTGAGGTTGCTGTGAAGATCCTCAGTGGAGAGTCTGTGCCGCACCTCATCCCTGAGAAGGTAGAGAGAGCAGCTTTTCTGTCTCACCTGCTGGTTCTTTCCTGTAGCCTTTCTGCTTTCTTCCAGCTGGTCAGAGCCAGGGATGGCTCTGGGTCTGATGTGGTACGTACTCCTGAACATCTCACAGGCTCCTCTTGTCTCCCCATCCTCCAGCCCTCTGTAGAACCCCAGAGCAACCAGTTCTCATATGCTTCTGGCATCCAGCATACAACAGCAGATGAGTCCAAGGCTGCAAAGGCGAAGGGCATCGGGGAACTGATCAAATACCTCAATGCCAATCCCATCAGTGGCCTGCTAGAGTATGCCCGCTCCAATGGCTTCGCAGCAGAGTTCAAGATGATTGACCAGTCTGGGCCCCCCCATGACCCAAAGTAAGTAGCCGTGTCTGTCCCATGTGAAGTTGCCGTTGTCTGTGTTACCGAAAGTAGGAGCAGGTACTGGAAAGTCCTGGTGACCTAACAGAGTTGTTCCTGTCACCACGTCATGCTGCCCCTTCGTAGACCTCATGTCCACTAAGCATAAAGATGCTTGTGCCTTGAGGGTGTAAGTGCACAGCAGGGAGCTCCCTTGGTGATGCACTGCTGCTTCTCTAGGTTCATCTACCAAGCAAAAGTGGGCGGCCGCTGGTTTCCTGCCGTCACAGCACACAGCAAGAAGCAGGGCAAGCAGGAGGCAGCCGACGCAGCCCTCCGAGTCCTGATTGGGGAGACAGAGAAGGCCGAGCGCACTGAAGGGCTGAACACCACGGAGGTAACTCCTCATCCCCAGAACCTAGGCCTGCCTTTGTCCTGGGGCTGCACCACAGTGGGTGAGCTCTTTGGTGGTAGTACAAAGCTGGGTTTATGATCCTGCTCACGGCTGGCGCTCTGAGCCTTTCCAGGCCTGGGCAAGAGATGTTCCCCAAGGTATGTGTGTGTACATGTATCCCATGCCATGATCGGGGTTTGGTATGGGCTAACGTTGTACCCTGAACCCCCGCAACCAAAGCTCAGGGCTAGAGCATGCTCAGGCTCCTGCCTCAGCTTCACTCCCTGCTCCATCGGGCTCCTGGCACGGGCAGATTGTGCAGCATCCCCTGAACCAGCCCCCCCTGGATTGCTGTCCCCATCCAGCTTTATTCTGAAGTGAGCTCTGAGTGCTGCAGTTCTCCTCCGTGCCAGTTCTCTGCTGCAGGGCTGAGTGTGGCAGCTGGGTCTGGAGTAGTCAAAGCAGATGGGGATGATGTGTCATTCAGAGTGACACAGAGGAGCCAGGCATCCCCTGAAACAAACCTCTGGGCGCTCTCCTCTGTGAGAGAAGTCCTGCTGGTTGCTCCTGCGATAGGGGTGGATCAGTGCGTGCTGGTGGGGTTTGAGCATTCTGAGGGTTTCTGCGTGTTCCCTGGGGAGACTGTGCCCCAGCCCAGAATTGTCTCCTTGCTGGCAGGGTACCCGACTGTGACAGGTGGGGCAGGGTCCCCCAGTCAGCAGTTGAATAACAGTTGCTTGGTGTCAGCCTTCCCAGGAGTTGCTCATCACTGCACAATCGCCTGCTCTTACTGCTGCTGTTTGCAGTCTCAGCTTCTCCCTGCCCTGAATCACTTGCATTCCAGACCCACCCTCTTCCTGAGCCCCTATGTAGGCAGCTCATTTACCTGAGTGTAGTCTCTTAGCAATGCCTGCATTGTGTTTCCCCAGCTCCCCATGAGTGGTAGTACCTTGCACGACCAGATCGCGATGCTGAGCCACCAACGCTTCAATGCCCTCACTGCACGCATCCAGCACAGCCTGCTGGGGCGCAAGATTCTGGCTGCCATTATCATGCGGCGAGGAGGAGAGGACCTGGGAGTTGTTGTCAGCATTGGCACAGGTATGAGCTCCCTCCAGCCACCAATGTCAGAAGTGGAGAACACAGCAAGCCCTGTGGCTTTATATCCTTTGGTCTTGCACTGCTGCACACCAGCCTGGGCATCACCTCATGCATTCATAAAATCATAGACAATGAGGGTTAGAAGGGACCTCAGGAGGTCACATATAGTCCAACCCCCTGCTCAAAGCAGGACCATCCCCAACTACGTCATCCCAGCCAGGGCTTTGTCAAGTTGGGCCTTAAAAACCTCCAAGGATAGAGATTCCACCACTTCTCTGGGTAACCAGTTCCAGTGCTTCACCACCCTCCCAGTGGGAGAGTTTCCTAATATCCAACCTCAACTTCCCTTGCTGCAGCTTGAGCCCATTGCTCCTTGTTGTGTCATCTGTCACCACTGAGAACAGTCCAGCTCCATCCTCGTTGAAACCCCCCTTCATGCTCCCCTCCCCATGTCCAGCAGGACAAGCAGTGCCCTGGGCTGAAAGAGACTGGTATGCCCCTGTGCAGACAGTGATGTCTATTGTTTCCAGGGAGGCAGGGACTCAGGGGACATAATCCTGCCCCACTCTGGGTGGGGAGGGTCAGAATAACCAGACTGGCATTACCCAGGAGCCTGGAGGGGCAGAGCTACCTTCTGCAGCATGCATGAGCTGGTATTGTCAGATCTTCTGCTTTTCTCCTCCCTCCAGGTAACCGGTGCGTGAAGGGCGAGGAGCTGAGCCTGAAGGGAGAGACAGTGAATGACTGCCATGCAGAAATCATCTCCCGGAGAGGTTTTGTAAGGTGAGAGGCAAGGGGCCCTGTGCTTCCTGCCTGGGAGCTTATGGGGTGGGGGGCTGTGAAAGACTACCTCCATGGATTTATAGATGCTAGGGTTGGAAGGGACCTCAACAGATCATCGAGCTCAACTCCCTGCCGTGGGCAGAAAAGAGTGCTGGGGTCAGATTACCCCAGCCAGATACTTATCTAGCCTTCTCTTGAAGACCCCCAAGGCAGGGGAGAGCAACGCCTCCCTTGGAAGCCCGTTCCAAGTTTTGGCCGCCCTTACCGTGAAGAAGTTTTTCCTGATATCTAGCCTAAATCTGCTCTGTCACTTTGTGGCCATTGCTTCTTGTTACCCCAAGAGGCGCCCTGGTGAACAGAGCATCTCCCGTTCCATGCTGTGCCCCCCTAATGAATTTGTAGGTGGCCACATGATCACCTCTCAGCCTTCTCTCTGAAGAGGTCCAGGTCCCTTAGTCTCTCCTCATAGGGCTTGGCCTGTAAACCTTTAACCATATGAGTGGCCCTCCTCTGGACCCTCTCGAGGTTATGCACATCCTTCTTAAAGTACGGCGCCCAGAACTGGACGCAGTACTCCAACTGCAGTCTGACCAATGCCACATAGAGGAGAAATATCACCTCTTTGGTTCTATTTGTCATGCATCTGCTGATGCATGATGAAGTGCAGTTAGCTTTGCTGATGATTTCATCACACTGACAACTCATGTTCATCTTGGAGTCCACTATGACTCCAAGATCCGCTTCCGCTTCTGTGCTGCTGAGAGGGTCATTCCCCAGCCAGTAGGTGTGCTGGATATTTTTATGCCCTAGGTACAGCACTCTGCATTTGTCCGTGTTGTATTGCATCCAATTGTGTTCTGCCCACTTATCCAACCTGTCCAGGTCTGCCTGCAATCATTCCCTACCCTCTGGAGTGTTCACATCCTCCCCACAATTTAGTATCATGCACAGGCTTGGACAGTGTACATTCCAGTGTTGTTCTGGGCAGGGCCTGGCTGACAGAACCCCCTCTCAGGGGCATGGCTAGAGGTGGCTTTCTTGGAAGGCAGGGTGGAGTATGGGGCCATGGTGTGCTCATACCTACAGCTCCCCTGTGGTCTTAACCATGGCCACACTACCCCAGGCCTAGCCGTGGCCCAGGTGAACCTGTGGTGGCCACTTGCTGAGGTGCTGGACCCAGCCCAGACAACTGGGAGGGGCTTCTTGCTCCCAGTGGCACTCTCTTGACCATTCAGCCTCGTCTCTAATAAAGGGACAGGCTCTGGTAAATCTGGGCCGCTCTTATCCATGTCCCCTCCCACCCCCAAAGAGAAACCCGGTTGGTGCGTGGTGGCCTATCTGTGCCACGCGCTGTGCCAGTGATTCTGCAGCCCCAGGTGAGAGGGGACCAGGTGCCCTGGAAGCTGTGCTATCAACCCAATACATGCTCATGTTCTGCAGCTTCCTTATTGATTTGTTCTGCCCGTTAATCCCTGGAGCTGTGACTGCCAGGCTGCCCTGTCATCCCTGGCACGGCATGTTCCATTAAAGATGAGAGTAAGAGGGGGAGTTAAAGATGCGCTTGGCCGTGGCTCGTACAGCAGGGAAGAACTCTCGGCAGACTCTGTCAGGAGAACCTTTGAGGCTGTGCAGTCTAACCTGGGCCCGCTGCTGACCAGAGGGGCTGGGCTGACGACCTTGGAGTGTTCTTCACCCGCAGAGCCTGTGCACACGGGCTGCAGATAATGAACACCACCCCGCCCCGTCAGTGTCCTGCTCCACTGAATCCAACGGGCAACCTCCCTGGCTACCTGCTCAGCCCAGGAGCACTCTGGTGAGGCTGCTAGGGTAGGGGCATCACTTTGGAGTGGGGAGTTGCATGCACCGTTCTACTGGGAAGTGGACTGAAACCAGAGAACACACTTGCTCCGGTCCCTCAGTGGTGGGGTCAGGACCCTTGTGAAGTTGCTGTCAGTTGAGGGTCACATCAGCGTGAGAAAATAACGAGCAGGCCTTGTGTTTGGTCCCTCACCAGTGTCTAACCCCTCTGTCTCATGCCCAGTGCATTTTCCTCAGTCCCTCCCATCTGTGCCATGTGTGTTGAGCACCAGCTTACTGTATCTCATGGTTCCTGGAAGCTCATCTTCACTGTCAACAGGGATGGAACATGGGAGGCTGTCTTTTGTGGGCATGTGCAGGGGGAAAAGGGTGTTGTTCCCAAGAGAGAGACTGCTCCCTAACCCTTTTTTCTTATTCCAGGTTTCTTTACAGTGAGCTGATGAAGTACAATCCCTCCTATCCCTCCTCCACAGAGCAGAGTATATTTGAACCAGCAGGAGACAATAGACTCAAAATAAAGGATAATATTACCTTTCACCTCTATGTCAGGTCTGTATGGACCAGGCTGCTGCCAGGCTCTGCCCAGTCCCTGCTCCACCCCAGCCACAAGATCACAGCCATGCCCTATACTTGCCTTCCTTCCGGGCTCTCTGCTGCTCACCCCCATGCTGTTAGCTAAAGCATTTGTGTTCCAAGGTGTGGGTCATTCTGAAAGAGGGGGGAGGCCCATGGGAGAGGAAGCTCATGGAGCATTCTCACATGAGGGAGATCTGCAATGCAGACATGCTGTGCAAGTCAGGGCAGCTCTGCATCGATACTTCTGGAGCCTTTGGCAGATTTGTGCTGACTCAGACATGGGCTTATCTCCTAGCACTGCACCCTGTGGAGATGGCGCCCTCTTCGACAAGTCCTGCAGCGACCAGGCGAGTACGGTAGGCAAGAGCCAGCATCAACCGCTCTTTGAGAACCCCAAGCAAGGCAAACTGCGCACCAAGGTGGAGAATGGTGAGTCTTGCAGGCCCCGCGAGCAGCTTTGTCTGGCTCTATTGCCAGTATGTGTCAGTCGCTCCAGACCCAGCTGCATCACGCAGCTCTTATGAGAGGAGTCAGACCTCCATGGTAAAGCGTTCTGGTCATATAGGCTGGGGGGTTCCTGCTGACCCCTCCAGGAAGGGATCAGGGTGCAAGCTCTGGCATTCTCTCCCTGAGTCAGAGCTGCAGTGCAGCAGGCTAACAGGGGCAAGGATTCACATCCAAGGGGAGCTGGCAGGGAGGTATCTAGTGGTGGGTTTCCCCATGAGCTTGATTTCCCTCATGGCTAGACCTGAGAGGCAGCGTTGTCTGGCCTGCCCACTGCCCATTCATGCTGGCACCTTCTGAAGTCTGAGGGTAGCATGGAAGGGCCTGGGAGACACCAGAGGGTGAAGAGCAAGGCTGCTGTTCCAGAGCTCAGCCTGCCTCCTGGCCTGGTTCCCATGGCTCTGGCCTCCTTTCTAAGAGTAATTAAATTCTGCTTCAGCCATGTGAAAAATCACCTGCCTCCCATCTGTCCCCAGTTTCTGCTCTCTTCCATGTGGGAGCCCAGGGACAGGGCTTAGCCCTGAAGGACTCCCCTCCTATCCATGCAGATAATGCATGCTTTGAGGGGACTGCGGGTCACTCACCCTGAGCTTGGGGCCTGTGCCCAGCAGGCAGGGGAGTTTAGACCGGTGGCATGCCGGACTGCTGTCTAGCTCCGCTTCTCTCTCCCAGGAGAAGGCACCATCCCTGTGGGGTCGAGTGACATTGTGCCGACGTGGGACGGGATCCAGCATGGGGAGCGGCTGCGCACCATGTCCTGCAGCGACAAAATCCTGCGTTGGAATGTGCTGGGTCTGCAAGGGGCGCTGCTTTCACACTTCGTGCAGCCTGTCTACCTCCGCTCCGTCACACTTGGTACAAGACCCACAGCCATGCTTTGGGGGCTGTGCTGGCAGGCTTGGGGAGTGGGTTGGATCCTCCCTGCAGGGATGGAAAGGGGCCTGGGGCTGGGGTTGGGGCTGTGGGAGCACAGGGCTAGCATGTCAGCCCCTGCAGAGCCATGCAGTTCAGATGCAGATGGGGCTCGTGGAGTCCTAACCAGCGAGAACAGAGGGCTTTTCCTGCGAGGTGTTGAGGGGGATTGGGAGTGATATATCTGTGAAGGTGCAGTAGGTAACCCCAGGCCTTTCGTGTCTGAGGGAGTTCTTGGCATGGAGGAAATCACTGCCCCGGCTCAAGCAGAGTGCTGCCCTCTTCAGGTTCCCACCTGCTCATTCACAGCACAGCCGTCCTGCACCCTGACTCCTGTCTGCCTTTCTTCCCAGGTTACCTGTACAGCCAGGGGCACTTGACGCGCGCAATCTGCTGCCGCCTGACGCGAGACGGGAGCACACTCGAGGCAGGCCTCCCGGCACCACACCATGTGGAACACCCTGAGGTACCCTGTACCTGGCTGCATTTCCATCCATTCTGCTGTGCCCAGACCTGGGGCCTGGGTGTCTGCTGAGGTGCCCCACACAGGTGTCACTTGTGGGAGGCTCTAAAGTGTATCAGCTGCGCAGCCAGCAAGCCCGTTGCTGACAAGCATAGAGGGACATTTAAACTCCCTTCTGGAGCCAGTCTGAAGCAGTGGCAGGGGCTGGGCAGAGAGGCTGTTGGTGCTTCCGTGTTGCCTCGGCCTTTCCCTGGTGCTGTGCCTGGTCAGGTGCCAGCAGTTGCTTCACTGCCTGATAATGCCATCTTTCTCCCCATTCCCGTGGCACCTAGGAGGGCTGAGCGTCTCCAGCACAATCTGCAGTCCCACAGTTCTGAGCAGGCAGCAGTGACCCACCTACCTCAAGGCAGGGAAGGGAAGGGAGCTAGGAGCAGGCTGAGCGCAGCACAGCCCAAAGAAAAGCATGAGAAGCACTTTGCTTGGGGGCAGTGGGAATGTAAGCTGGGCTGGGCCCCTTGAGCCACAAGGTACCTCGCATCCCATCTGGAGTGTGCCTACCCAGCCAGGCCTGTACCCCCAGCTGAAGCCACCCTGAGCTCTCTCCTGTCTCTCTCTGGCTGCCCAGGTGGGGAGAGTCAGCGTGTACGACTCTGCCAGGCAGACGGGCAAGACCAAGGAGTCCAGTGTGAATTGGTGTCTGGCTGATCACAGCGAGGTGGAAGTCCTGGATGGCACCAAGGGCAAAGTGGATGGGTAAGAGGAGCTGCTCCCGACAGACTGGGAGTTGCCTGCTCCCTCTGCAGTGCCCTGGGGCACAGGAGGCCACAAGAGGGGAGAATACCCAGCTGGGATAAATAGGCAGTTTGCCCCACTCAGACCCGGGGCCAGGCTGCTGCTTGCAGCCTCTGAGGCAGTCTGTTCACCTCCGTCATCCGGGCTTGGCTAGTGCCCTGTGCAGCAGGCCTTTCGGTGACTTCTCAGTCCCCAAGTCATGTTTCCAGCCTCAGCAGCCAGAGCCCTCCAACCTCATGTCAGCGCCACAGACTCCAGCCAGGCCTGCGTGACTGGAGCTGCTGCTCATGGTAGAGCCCTCCCGGGTCATTGCTCTGGCCCCCCCCCCATCCCCTCAAGCAGAAGTGCTCAGGGGAGAAACTTGGAGGAGGACTTTTCCTAGGGAACGTGGCTGCCTTTTGCAACTACTTCAGGTACTAGCAAGGGGGCCTTGTGTTGGGAGCTTGGCAGAATATAACTTGCCTATAGCAGAAGGCCTCCACTGACCTGGTGTGGTGGGGAATGGGGGCTCCTGGGCTCACTTGGCATCTTCTTCATGAGTCATGCAGCCCCTGCCCCGGCTGGAGGGTAATTCCAACATGCTGGCTCCCACTTGAGGCCCAAGTAGCTGCTTCCCCCCAAGGGGCTGCGTTCTCACCGATGTTCCCTCCTCCCAGACCAAAGCTGGAGGTGTCCCGCGTGTCCAAGCGGCGCATGTTCAACCTGTTCCAGCAGCTTTGTGCCATGAGGAGCCGCCAGGACCTGCAGGCTTTCACACTGTACTCAGACGCCAAGGAGGCAGCCTCGGCCTACCAGGGTGCAAAGCAGCGTTTTTTTCAGGCGCTGGAGGAGATGGGCTACGGCAGCTGGATCCGCAAACCCAAGGAGGAGGATAGCTTCTCCCTCAGTGAGGCGTAGCGCTGCCCTGCAGCTGCCTGCTCCTTCCCTTCTCATTTTGTGACGGGAGCCAGGAATGCTGAGGGGGCCATGGCCATCCCCATGCCCCCTCTGCTCAGCCTGGCACGGCCCGGCTCAGCGGGGAGGGCCTTGCCTTGCTGCGCCCGTTCTGATTCCTTCTCCAGATGGACGCTCAGCATGGCCTTGGCGCAGGCACTGGTGTGAGAGTCCACGTGCGTGTAGGAGCACTTGGTTCTTGCCTCGTCACTCATTGTCTCCATTCTTCTAGCAGGAGCCTCATCCAGCTCCCGCCCCTGTCCTGGCAGCGTTCCTGGCAGTTTGCACGCTGGGTCCTGGGGCAGTTGACAGGACTCTGGGGCACTTCCTTCCCCGCAGGCCTGCCAGCTGCACAGGCTGGGGTGGGGTGGGTGGAAGAGGAGGCGCTCTGCCCTGGCAGCTGCTGCTTCACCCCTGCACCTGCTGTCAGGACCTGCAGTGACCCCAGGGTGGCTCAGATTAGTTGCAGGTAGGGGTCCTGCCAGTGGCTGTTCTAATCTCCTTTCCCCTGTAGGGCAGGCAGGCTGGGGGCTCCCCTTGACTGTGTCAAGGGACGGGTTTTGTCTCTGTCAGGCTGGTGCCTCCCCTGCCCCAGGTGTCCCCTCTGGCTGGCTCTGTGGATGCCGGAGCAGCTTCCTCTCACTGGAGCTGGCGCCGGGGTCTTGGAAACCAGCCCTTTCCCGTCAGCCGTCGTGCGCGTGGTTTTAGTTAAGCTGGGCCACATCCTCTTTGCTTTTATGCTTCCCTGTTTTTAAAAAAAAAAAAGACCGAGAAGCCAGCAAGGTTCAGGGCTGTGTGTAAGCCTTGGATGCCCTCCGTGGGTCCTTTCATGGAGCTGGGCAGGTGGTAGCCCAGGGGTGCCAACAGGCCTGTGTTGGGACACTGGAGGCTGTGGCTACAGCTACTCGGGGACAGACTAAGGCAGCCTGCATGTGCTGCCACCTCTGCCAGGCACCAGCACCCCAGTCACCTCCCAACCAGCCCCTCCCTGCTGTGCCAGGACAGGGAGCCCTAGTGCCAGACCAGGCTCCTCAACTGTCCCAGGAAGGAAGGGCACAAGGCTAGGCCTGTTTGCTCCATTTGGACGTTTCTGGTTCTTCCCTGCTCCCAGCTGTTGCCCATCGTAGCTCTGGTGCTGAAGAGTGAGCAAAGCAGCTGTCGTTTGGGGGCAGCTCCTGCATACCCACCACACCACCACCACCACCAGCTGCCCCTTGCCCTAGGGCTGGCTTTCCTTGCACTGTGCCGGGCCTGGGGTAGGAGGAAGGCCCCATATGTCAGCCCCCTAGGAGGCTGCCTCACCCTCAAATTTTTTTGTACGTTGCTTGCGAGCGCCCGGCCAGTGAGGGCCGCCACATTCCACAGAAATAAATCGTTTCGGTCTTGTTAGTTGGCTTGGCCTGCAGGTCCCCTTCTGTCTGGTGGGGTGGGAGCAGGGTTCCAGCAGTTGGGTCCCCAGCCACATGCCAGCCTGGCCTTGGCAGCTCCAAGGCATCCAAGCCTTGGTCTCTGCTGTCATGTATGGGGGGTGTTGGGTGTGTGGGGGAGCAACCCTGAAATGGCCACAGGGAAACCACCATGGAGCTGGGCAGCCATGTGCAGCAGGCTGGGCCAGGGCTCCTGGCTGGTAGGATTGGTGATGCAAATGCCTTGCCTACTTATGGAGCTGGGTGCAGGGTGTGCTATGATGCCCAGGGGCAGGGCTAAGCTGGGCAGAGGCCTGCAGCTCTACAGCACCGTGGGGCCAGGCCTCCCTGCCCCAGGTAGGCAGCAGGGCACTTCAGTAGGGTCCACCTAGGCTTGTTTCCCAATTGCACAGCTGGGGCAGAGCCTGTACCTCCTCTCCCGCACCCACTGTTCCCCACATCTCGCCTGCAGGCTGGGTACAATGGGCTGTGCTCCCCTCAGACTGCGCCTCTCTGCTGCCTGCCCCAGGAAAGGAAGGAGGCAGATGCCAGCTGTGGTCTGTGCAAGTGTTTATTGGTTTGCGGTGACGCTTGAAGCAGCGGCTGTGCCCTTGGGCCAGACGTCACAGTGCCACCTCAGGCTCTGGTGCCCCCTAAGCCCACTCCCTCCCTCACCAACTGCCCAAGCTTCTGTGGCCTGGCTGGGCCCAGGCCAGGGCCATGGTGCCTATGGGCATGGGGCTGAGCAGTGCCCTGTGTGGGGATGGGTGGGGGCACTAAGGGCAGAGCCCCCTGCCCCTCAGCTCTGCAGTGCAGGGTGGAGAGCACCTAGCGGTGTTCATGGCCTGGGGCTGAGCTGGGTGGCACCAGCACATGCCAGGGGGGCACTAGCCATCCCTGTGGTCCCAGCAGGAGCAGGAACAAAGTCCTCTGCGTCAGTCCATCTGTTCCTGCAGGTGGTGGTGAGGTCTCTCTGCCTGGGCAAGGGTGAGGCTGGCTGCTCCCACCCACCCCCCAGGCTGGAGCTGTGAAGAGCAGGGCCTACTAGCCCCTTGCCTGCCCTCCTGCCCCTGTAGCTGTGGGGGCCCTCCCTGGAAGCAGGATGCACAGGGGTGCATGGGGAGGGCTGGAAGCAGCAGCCAGGCCCCAAGGGGCCCCTGCCTGGTGCACCCCATGCGGCCCAGCTGCTTCACCCTGAGCACTGTCCTTAGCCCTGCCCTTGGTGCTCAGCTGGGAGGGTCTCCGGAGCGGGCAGGATGGGCACTATTTGGCACTGGGCGTGCCCTGGGCCAGCTGCAGCAGGGAGTGGGAGGCGTAGTTCTGGAAGAGCGGCTGCAGGAACATGCCGATGGTGCCAAAGACACAGACAAAGACGAAGATCCACAGGAAGAGACGATCGATTACCATGGCCACGTACTTCCAGTCCTCGCTCACCTGCAATGAGCCACAGGGGCCGTGTGTCACCAGCCGCCAGTGCGGACACCCCATGCTCTGCCTGGTCCCAGCCCCGGGGAACCCAGCGCTGAGTCATGTTGAGGCAGAGAAGGGTGCTGGTGTAGATGTGCCCCTGCCCGCATCTGCTGCAGCCTGGCCTGGCATCTCTGCACCCCAAGCAGACACTCTACCAGGCAGGACAGGAGCAGAACGAGGTGCTGAGTGGTGCCATGGATGGACCATGCAGACCAAGCTGGAGGTAGGTCCATGTGTGGGATGGGACTTAAAGCAGCATAGTAGGAGCTGGTGAGCCAAAACCCAACAGCCAGAGCCGGCTGCCTGGGGCCAGCAGCTGGGGCTTTGAGGCATCAGGCTAAGGGTTGTGGGGCAGCAGGGCGCTGGCCGCTGCAGCAGCTGGGGCAGGCTCACTGCTCCAGAGCTGGGCCTGTGCTCGCCCAGCTCCCTGGAGCCCCGAGCTGCGTTCAGCAGGGGGAGGATGGGGGATCTGCCCTGGAGCACAGATGTGGGTGCAGCCACAAGGGCTGCTGCCTCTCCTGGCACATGGCCGTGGATGTCGAAGCCCCAGTGCCTCCCCCACCCCTGGGTGAAAACTGCACCCTCAAAGTGAGATGACGTGCTCAGATAAGACTTGCCGATCACTATAGCAACCACTTGCTTAAAACTTGGCAGAAATCAATGGAATGACACAGGACGGGGTGAAGGTCTCGTGAGGCCGCAGCACAGGCGGATGCTGAGTGCAGGCAGGCAGGGATTACCACAGCGCTACCGCTCCGGGAGCCCCCATGTGCTGGCAGCAAGCCCAGGCTCCACGCTGAGGGCAGCAGCTGGCACAGGGTCCCTGCTCCCAAGGGAACACAGCCTGGTCCTCCCTCCCTGCCTGGGCCTGCCCCAGGGTCCTTGAGGCCTACAGGGCTCCAGCACCCCCACCCTAGCTGGGAGCAACCTGCAGCAAAGGGCACAGGCTGCTGGTTTGCTTTGCAGCCCTGGTCTCTTCCAGCCCAGGCAGCAACATGCATGTGCCTCTACCTGCTAGCACAGCTCTGCCAGGCACTTGCACACAGGTGACATGCGTGCCAGTGCATGTCCTTTCATGTAGACAGCCATGCACCCTGGTACCCATGCATACACACAGGCCCCCCCATGCCTACATGCACTCACACACATGTGGCACCATGTTCCACAGCCCGCAACTCACGCTCTGGTCGTCATCCTCACTCCGCATGTGGTCAGCAATGAAGCGCACCCCATCCACTGCCTCCTCTAGGCCACAGGAACACTGGGCCTGCCCTGGCCCCGGCCCTGGCCCTGTCCCCCGGAACCCATTGGCCCCATCGCCTCCTGCTCCAAGCGGTTTGGCGGCCGCTGGGTTGACGTAGCAAGTGCCGGCACGGGCACCCCGGCGCAGGAAGAAGCTGCCACCAGCAGCTCGCTCCTGCTGCTGCCGGCGCTGGCGCAGCCGCTGCCGGGCGCAGTTCTGGCGCGGCTGCTTCATGAAGAGCAGAGCGGGTAGCTTGTCCAGGAAGACTACCTTGACCCAGGGTGGCATGGTGTGCGTGGTGGGTGAGCGGTGGTGCACGTTGAGCACGCACACGCTGGTCACGATGGAGAAGGTCACCAGCACCATGGTGAACATGAGGTACTTGCCCACCAGTGGCACGTCCAGCGATGTGGGTGGCACGATCTTGGAGATGAGCAGCAGGAAGACGGTGAGGGCCAGCAGCACCGAGATGCACAGTGTCATCTTCTCGCCGCAGTCGGAGGGCAGGTAGAAGACCAGGATGGCCAGGGAGGTGATGAGGACGCAGGGGATGATGAGATTTATGGTGTAGAAGAGTGGCTTGCGGCGGATGATGAAGTCGTAGGTGATGTCCACGTAGGTGGAGTCCTCAGGGTTCTCATTCCGCCGGCCTGGCAGTGCCACGATGTCCCACTCGCCGCTGGGTGTAAAGTCGTCCAGGCTGGCCACGTCACTCTTGAGCACCAGGTCGATCTCCGTGCGGTCATAGGTCCACGACCGGAACTTCATGGTGCAGTTCTGCTGGTCGAAGGGGAAGTGCTTCACCTCGATCTTGCAGGCGCTCTTATAGATGGCAGGCGGCAGCCAGAAGATGCTGCCGTCATGGGACACCACCGCGTTGGAGTAGAAGGACACCTCGTACATCCCGTCAGCACTAGGGGTGGTGGGAGACCCATCAGGCTGGGCTGGTCCTGCTGTTCCACTCCCTGACACCACCTCCCTTCTGTCTCCCTGCCACAGAGCTGATGCGGGGGGGCTTGGTGCTGCATCCCCCATGCCTGCAGCAGAGGCTTCCCAAGGATATCTGGCAAGGCCCCAGGGGCCTGGCTCTCCTGTGTGCTGAGCTGTGGGGCACCTGGGAGCATGGGAACAGGTGCTGGCCTACCCTGGGACCCACCCCCAGGGTCAGGGCTCAGCCTGCAGGGTGCAGGGGGAGCAGAGAAGGGGGACCTACTTGTTGTAGAGGACAACATCAGGCAGCCAGATGTGCTTGGAGGGCAGCCGCACCTTCTTCATGTTGTCAAAGTCCTCGGGGTTCCAGGTGAGTCGGTAGTCCTCCCACTCCTGGCAAGAGGGGTGAAGTGCAGCTCAGCCCTGCCCAGCCCACCCCCAGCCCCAGTGCTATGGTGCCGCAGGAGGGGCTGCAGAGGCATCATCCCTCCAACCACAGTCCAGCCGCTCCCAGCCCAGGGCTACTGGGGCTTCAGCCTGTGGAACCAGCCAGTGCCAACCCAGTGCCCAGAAGCCTGCAAGCTGGAGCACTGAGGTGGCAGCCTGCCCCTACCCTGTGTAACCAGGGCAGGGCCCAGGAGAGGCATCTGGTTCTCACCTGTGTCAGCCACACGTTGGTTGTCATGATCTGCTCCCGCTCATGCTGTGGACAGAAAAGGCAGTGGTCAGCAGGGGCCAGGGGGCCCAGGGCACCCAGCAGCTCCAGCAAGGGGGGCAACAAGAGGGGAGAAGCCCCCTGTGCCCTGGTGGCCCCAGGGGACTGTTCTATCAGCATGGACAAGCAATGCCACAAGCAGAAGTGTGCAGGCTGTAGCAGGGCCTCATGCCCCCACATGGGTGGTGGAAGGATCTGAGCGCAGCCCAGAGCTCACTGGGTCCCCCCAGCCCATCCTGGCACCCCCTGGTGCCTAGGCAGAGGCTGAGAGAGGAGAGGGTGCATGGTGCAGACCTGGCAAACTCACCACACTAATAAGTTGGGCCAGTGACACCATGAGCTGGACAGTCACCAGCTCAGAGCCATTGGTGGCCGGGCGGATCAGCTTGTTGTAGCGGGATGGGTCCAGGAGGTGTTCGACCAGACGCTCCTCTGTGTCAGTGCCCAGGCTCCCTGTGGGCAGCAGGCAGCAGTGGTGAAGCCCCTAGGCCCGTGCCCCCATCCCCTGCCTGCCTGGCCTGGCCCTAAGCTGTGCCCCGTGCCTCCACACGTGCCCAGCAACATGAGCCCCCATCAGCCACGTGCCAGCCTGCCCTGGGGTCGGGCTGTGGGTGACGCGGGTGGGGGACAGGGCTGCCGCAGCAGGGATGTCTCATCTCAGCGCCTCCTGTGCGGCGCTGATAGCTCTGTGCTCGCGGGACCTTTGCCCCCAGCACCCGCCTGCGGCAGCTGCCTTTGTACTGCCAAGGGAAGCTGATGGCTCAGGCCTGACACTAATTAGGTGGGGGGGAGAGATGGGCCAAAGAGCCTAGGGAGGCTCTGCAGGAGGTTGCACCAGGAATTTGGCCCTGAGCTGCTGTTCAGCCCAGACAGGGTGTGGGAGGTAAAATGTTGGATGCTGCCGGGCCAGACACTGGGGCTGGGCCCAGGGGACACGGGAAGTCCTGTTGGATGGGCCTCTGAGGAGCCTGGTCCTGGTGGTAACAAGGGCCCACCCGGGTGCCCGCAGGCGTCCAGAGCTGTGCCCCGCCGCTCCTGCCAGGGCAGAGCCATGCTGGGACCTGGGGAGCCTGTGCCCAGGGCCTGGCCCCAGCCACAGTCCCAGGCAGGAGCGGGGCAGGACCAGGGCAGGGACCCCTGCCATCCCAGGGGCGCTGGCTGGTGGGGGGGGAGCTGCAGCCTGAAGATGAGAAGCAGCCCAGGGAGGGAGAGTTTGGGGCAGGGGCGGGGGCAGGGAAGTGCCTGAG